CCTGTTCTGAAGGGGACGCTTCCGTAGGTGTTTGGCCAAGCCCAGAAGCAAGACAGGTCAAGTAGGCATGAAGCACCGGTTGATTTAGGGACCTGGCTCTGTCTCAGTATTCAGAAGTGTGCTGATCACATAGGAGGAAACTGTAGGCAGAACACGTTGAAGCTCTAATGGATATTTGTTCTGGAACTCGATGTCACTCCTCAGCCACTTTTCCACAGGGAGGAATGAAATCTTGGCCAGCACCCCCACTACTCTCCCAAGATTTCCACATCTTTCCTCAGAGGTGGAACAGTGATGACTGGTTGGGGTTTTCCTACAAAGGTAGTACAGTGAGTTCTTGGAAGCAGCCATCTCTCCTTCCAGAGACAAAACCTTCCCTAGCTTCAGTGGCATCACAGAACTGTCAGTGTCCTAAAGCAAAGCAGAGCACTTTTGCAGGTATGACAGCAGCTCCCACCCATGTCTCACAAGATGCCCGTTCTGCCATGAGGAGGTCTGATGAGGTTAAGTTTACCTGTTGATAGCACTGATACGGTTTTCTTCTTTTTTGCCCATGACCTTTCATGCTTTGCTGGTGACAACATGCCCACTTCAGTTCATCAGGATTTGGTAGGCAGGTGTTATTCTCAAAGCACCCAAGTATCAAGGAGTACAAGCCCCACTGAATTGGATAATGTAACTACAGGATTTTCACACTTGCAAAACCACAGATTCATGGATTAGATTCTTAATCAAGGAAATCAAATATTCGTTTAGAGAAGAGAGCCTCTGTTGCCCAACATTAAATTCGCATTACAGATGGATTGTCAAGTGCTACCTGGATTCTTAAAGTCTTGTAAGAATTTCCTGGGTTGGCATCAGAGCCAAAGGTTAATGGTCTTTTGTCACAAAAAAAAATCTGGGTTCAAAACAGAATGATGGAAGAGAACAACGCCAGCCTGTTGTCTGGGTCTGCACTTGTTGAAGTGCTTTGAATTAGTCCAGCATCCTGTGTGGCTGCCCTCCTACACCCCAGAAATTTATGTTTACGAGCAAAATCTAGGTGCACCAAAAATAAAAAATGTTGGGGTTTTTTTTGTTTTTTTTTTTTTTTTTTTTTTTTAAAAAAGCTTTTCTGGTTTAAGAATAGCGTTTGAGTATCAGGAAAGGTACAAATGAGCAAAAGTGCCCAGACAGCAGACAGAAGCAATGGCTGGACAGAACTGACCAAAGATTCTGTTTTGATAACAACTTCATCTCCACGATCAATTTTCTTTCTGGTTTTCCTCAGGTCAAGCAGAGCAGCCATTTTGAGGTATCAGGTGTCAAGGTTAGTGGCTATTCCACAATGAATCTGTTCAGGCCATGATCACTGCTCCTCAGCCAACCACTAACTTCCAGTCCAGTGCCCGACTGTCTACCACAAAGAGATCCAAAAGCATCTCCTCCTATTGGCTGCCACATCTTTTGAATTAAGAAAAAAGCCCACCTAATCTTAATGATGTTTAGAACACCCAGCAACATTTGATAGGCAGAGTTCCTTAGAGTTTCTCTTTCTTCAAAGTACAACAGGTCTTTAAGGTCTATTTCTGCTCTGAATTCACCTATTTCTCATTTGAACTCACATTTTTTTCCAACTGGACATGGTCCTTTGCAACTTGTTCTGACCCGGGTTGAGCAGGGGGAGGGGGTCTAGAGCTCCAGAGGTCTCCCTGAGCTATTGTGCGATTCTGTAACAAGCTGTTCTGATAATCACTGTAATATAATGACAGCCTTTATTCAGGAAGGTATTTAAGGATATGCTTAAATTTATGTGTGAGCCCTACAAAAGTCGAAGGAGTTACAGATATTGGAAGCACAAACTTATTTGCACAGCTCTAAGTGTATGCTCAGCACTTGCTGCAGTTAAAGAAAAGTTTACCCACAGGCTTAAACAATTACTCAGGTACTTTTCCGAATGGCCTTTTGTATGCAGCACTTGGCTTTGCTAGTTTTTCTTGCTCCATTTACTTAGCATTATATTCTGATCAGATTTCCACACGGAAGCCTGAAGCACTGTCACTAAAGCACATACAGGAAAAAATTACCAGTTTCTAATCACATGAACTGAAAAGCCTCTGTAGCATCCTGGCAGCAGGCCAGCACTATTACCAAAACACCAGGAAGCAGAAGTAGCAGTTATAGTCATTACTGTAAAGAACCTGGAACCACGACTCCAGTACCACGTCCTCAGAACTAGTCCATGGTTCCCTACAGCCTTCCAGTTTGTTCCCACATTCACAAAATGAAGCAATGTGCTTATATGCAGCTCCCAAAGAACTAGAAAGAGAAAACACATTGGGCATTGACAAAACACAAATAAACTTGCATTGCTTGATATGCCAGTAAAAAGCAGTTTGCTTCAGAAGATAGTAGCTTCGCATTCACTTACGCTCACAAGTTCACTTTGAATCAGATTTGAGGAGCAGCCAGTTTCCAACATTCTCCTGAACACACATGCAGCAAATGGCTAATGGCAGGCAAAAAACCCACACGGCAAAAGTGCCTGATAAATCGATTCTGCCATGTCTATGGTTAATGTTCTTATATTTAATAGTGTTAGTGGCTAAGGTTAGCATTGCTTTTGTTAAGAAACCAAAAAAAAAAAAAATCTCATCACCCAAAAGAAAGAAATACCCCCACCCTTTTTAACTTGAGAAAACATGACTTGTGCAGCATTTAAAGACCCAATTTTAGCATTATTCATCTACTTGAACTGTTGTTTTTGTACTGTGCACATGCACTGGGCTTGATGCCCAGCACTGAGAGAAACAAAGGTAGTAGAGGAACAGCTTTGTTTCCATTCATAGCTGCTTGTTGCCAGAAGTAACTGACAGCAGCCAGTTACAGTAGAAAGTAGGTGTTGAAGGGAAGAGTTCAAGTGATCTGTGACACTCCAATCAGCTCATTTGATTGATTCTTGGGAAGTGACTGAGTTAACTCAGACACGTCCTGCACCAAGGTCCTGTACAATGGCAATTCCTCACTTCTGCCTCCTGGGAATTCTCAATCATATTCTGTAAGCAGAATTTTGATTACATGGATGTCGACAACTGCTGTTACAGAACAAAGGTTAAGTAGGCCCTTGGAAGCAGTCCAGAGGGGAACCCTCCAGCACCAGTAGAAATGTTTTAATTTAACAGACCTCCATGCTTTGCTTGTGTTCTAGGGAGCATCACTTCCCAGTGCAAGGGCACTACCTGATGTACATGCAGTGAAGGTACTTGACTGAACAGAACAGGCTGAGCAGAGTAACTGACATTTACCTGCAAAGAGAACCTGGAGGCTCTAGACAAAAGCAGAACCTGGCTGTGTAAGGTTCCAGACAAGCCTGTAAGATCCAGTAGTGGACGAGATTAGATAGGGCACAGCACCACTCAGACTGGAATACCACTTAACTGATGCAACTTTTGGAAGGAGGGGAAAAGAGGCACCAATTTCTGAACCACTGAAACATGCAGCACAGTTCAACTGGGGAAAAAGCATAGAGAATACTAGATCACTGCAGAGGAGCACCAGAACTGTGAGCGCTAGAAGCTAAATAATGGAGATAAATGGAAGTCAAACATCTTCCTCAAGATCTGCTTTGTTTACTGCCTGCACAAGATCTTGGATAATGAAAACCAACCATAACCTTTTTTTATGACCACCTGAGTACTTAAGCTGTTGTGTTTGACCTGTTGTTACTAGATCTTCTGGCAGCAACAAGGAGAAACTACAGTTCAACTTCGGTCTCCAAAGCAGTCATGTTTAAATCTTAAAAAACCCCCGAACATTCAGATCATTAAGAGGTTACAGAGGAGACCATTTGCGTAGAACATTTAAAATAACCCATCAAGATGCATGCCATTAATGTTGCAGGATCCCTTCCGAACCCCACTTTGGACACTGCATATTGACAGGAGCTAGATCTTCAGTCACTCTAAAAAGCTGGGCTTGGACCCATCCTCTTATTTGTATTTCTTACCAGCTAGTAAGCACCCCCTCCTACTGTTACTCACTACTAATTTTTGCATGTGCTTATTTTAACTATAATAGGGGGAAAGCAGTAATGGGACAGCAGTACACTTAAAAAAATAAGCACACCCCCAAAAAACCCAATGCAAAGCCCATACGCCTTTTCCTCCAGTCTGGGCTTCTAGTTCCAGCGACAGGAAGGCCATATGTGTCAGACACTAGAGGGAAGGTACCTGTAAGCAAAGTGATGGTGTTCATACTGCACAGTGCAGCTTCTTAGCTTGCATTTGTCCCTAAATATGTAGAGTATCTATAGCAAGCTCCAGAAGTGTCTGGGATCAGCTCACAGGAATCACAGTCAATTACAGTCTTCTACATATATAACCTATTACAGAAACTCATTTTTGGAGTCATAAATCAAATGTCTTCCTGTGCGTCTCCTCACTTCTGTCAATTCAGTGGAGCTCAAAGTAAAAAAAAAAAAAAAAAAAAAAAAAAAACAAATCTCAAGAGTTCAACTTGTCTCATCTATACAGGTATTTTCAAATCTGAGAGTCAAACTTACTCCAAGTGTGTCAACTGAAAATAATTTTACATGGCATGTACCATTTTTGTATTTATTTTGTCTGATGATACACCACTTGCAAAGGCCTTTCTTATTCAAGACAATTTTACACAAAGTCACGGTCAAATCTGAGTAAAAAAAAAAATTAAAAGAGTGAGACTCATTTCCTGCCTTCCCATGCCTTCATTCTTTCACTAATGGGAAGGAGAGGATTCTTGACACACTTTTGAAGTCTCCTCCTCACACTAAACTATCATATAACTACTCTTAATTCTGCTTATATCCAGTTCCAGTACTCCATTCCCCATTACTTCAGTGAGCAAGCTGTCATCAGAAAGTGACAAGATCAGGAAAAGTAGAACTCAAAAGTTAACAAGTGTATGCAAGATCAATGATCAAAGAAACAGCTCAAAACTACTTAGACAAAAGGCAAATTTATGAATTAAAATGGAAACAACAATTTCCAAGTGTGTGACCAAGTTTAATGATACAACTGTTCTCTGAAACACTTGACCATCAATAACATTTCATGGGTTATGATGCCCAGAATGTTACTTCATAGGTGTTTTATATGAATATTTACAAAGACTTTCAAAATTCAGTGGCACTAAACCAACAAGAACTTAAAACTTTAAGCTACAATGCTTAAAAAATGTAAACAGTTTATTTTACATAGTTGTAAAATATAAGAACTTTCTAATGCAGCTTAATTTTATCTGGAAGGTGAATATATCCTGGTGCCCGTGAACAAGGAATGAGAGAATTCTTTACACAAATATTGTGCTCCAGTGTGCAAAAAATTATATATAAGGAATCTAAAGTCCACAACAATTAAAAGACAACAAAAAAGTTTTCACGTCCTGAAGTTGAGAAATTTATAAAAACATTTACACATGGTTGCTGACCCATCAAAAACTTGCATAACTTAAAATTCTGAACAATAGCTACTATAAATTCAAGATCTGTCTCAAATGGAATTTTGTGCAAAGATCAGACTTATAATTCAGCATTTTTCCAGCTGTATCTCCAACTTTCCCTTCCCATCCCCATTCCTGACATCTAGTGGCCACAAGCACCACTAAAATCCTTTTGATATATATTCAAATTAGTGCATGTAACCAAAAGGCACACACATGTGTGAACACATTTTCGTGCAGAAACCTGTGCAGGTTAACAATTACGTTGCAAAACAACTGTTTGCAGAAAGTTTAGAGTCTAATGTTTGGCAGGATTATTCTTACACATTCCTTTCTATTCTACAAGCCCAGGTGTTAATAGGTAGACACTGCTTTCCGAGGATCCAATATTTGAGTAGCCTTAAAATAAACATTTAAAAATAAATCAGCCTGTAACATTATTATATTAGATACTTTGCTTTTGCCCGCATTATTTATGGATTTTTAATCCCACAGTACCATAGCTCTATGCTGTCAGTTGCAAAACAACTAGGATACATATTTCTTTTTGTTAATGAAGACTTTGATTGCTCCAGTAAAGTCAGCCGATAAAAGCACTTCTGTGTGATCTGTCTTCAAAGCTCCTTAATAAGGAAAGAGAATAAACTGTTAGTTCATTTAAAAAAAATTAAAAAAAAAATATCAAGAAAAGATAACGTATCACCATGATACCCTTCCTCCTCTGTTACATTCCTGTTATCTAGCCAATACTTGAAGAAACATCTGCACTTCTAGGAGAGGGACTTTTCCATTATATATTGGTACAGCTCTACCTCCTAACAGCTGAAGTGTAAAAACTGTAATCCTGAAGTAGAAAGGACAACAGCTACACCCCTCACTTCACATCCTCTCAGGTTTTAAGAACGCAACAGCTGCCAAAATGTTCAACTGCTAAGGTAGGAATATGCCACTGCATCGACTTTTCATCTCAAGAAACCCTCCCTCCCAAATGGAAAGTATTCTTCATCACCTTTTCCTCCTCTTACCATGGTATCAAGCAGAGCTCATCTTAAACACCTACCAGAGGGTATGGTATCTGATGTTTCAGAATCTTCTCCCTTACTTTCAGCTTCTTGCTTTTCAGAAGTTTCCAGTGACACCATCAAACCAGGATTGGGAGCAAAAATCGCAGAAGTGACCACTGCATTGTGCGCTTCAGAAAGACAATCCAATTTTGATTACCTTGTCTCAAGGAACGGTTAATTTTACAAGAATAGCAGGCATAAATTTTAGTAAATATCCAAGAATCTCAGTGCTAGTGGCACCAGGTAAGCTCATCATTCAAGGAGCAACTGTCATTGTTTTATAAGCTTAGGGATCTCAGAAGTTCCTGTACGTGCCTGAAACTAAGTCACAAGAGCTCCAAAACACGTTTGATATAAACACAGTCCCACTGTGTGTGTAGGCGTTAAAAGAGTTGCAATGAAAGAAAAAAAACATTTGCACTTGTTTTCAAAGCCACTTTTCCATAAAGGATCTAAGGATTGAAAATTATTTTGTTTACTACGCTTACACAACCAAGTTCTGCCAAGAAACATTACATTAATTCAGAATCTCTTACTGAAGCTGGACAAATTCTTAGCTACTCTGCCTCTTGCCATCCCAATCATGCATCTGTAGTTTCCTGTGGACAAAGTTTTCTGACAGTCCACTTATTGAAAATCCACCAATTACATTGTATCTTGCTAATAATTTGTTGAAACTAAATGAATAGAACTGCTGAACAAAAAAAGCCTAGAAGATAAAAATATTTAATTTTTGAAATCATATGAAATTCGATAAAATAAAGATCAAAAGTTGATTTTTACCTTTAATGCCTTCCCAGAAATCATTACGGTCTCTTCTTACAGATGTAAACTTGCTCAAGTCATGGTATGTACTCCAAATATAAACATATTTATCTTCTGAACCACTTACAATGTAGGTAAAGTCATGGCTAAAGATTCGAAGAAGGAAACACATTACTTTTCTTAGCTATTCAAGCAACTGTTACAACAGCTCTCCAGAAGACTTGCAGTTTTACAAGTGCAACCAGGCTAAGTTCACAATTCGAACTGATCCTTCATTTCAATGACTACAGCTCAAAAAAATAAACAGTTCTTAAATGAATGTGCGTGCAAGCTTCCTGATATTCTCCCTCTGGAAGAAAAAGTAGTTCTCATGAATAACACACAGAAGCTGTTCTCCTGCAGCTTCCGACACAGAAGAAGGTTAGTCTAACAGCTATACCCCACAACAATAAAATGGCATAACCTTTAAGTGCAGTTTGCATCTGTTTGAGTCTGGAACCTGTGTGAATATCTGAGACTGTCTAAGAGGAACTGTTTACAATACAATCATGGGCAGAAAAAAATCACACAGGTGAAAGATGAAAGGCATTCAACAGTAACCATCTGCAACCAGATGACTGTATGATACACGCTGACAGAGACAGAACAGCACCTGCAAATCCAACTCAAGTATTTACTTTTAATTTACCTACTGCATGAATACGCTACATATCTAACTCTAACACTAACTATGCTACAACCCTGTAATAGAAATGACTTAATTTGGGAAATGAATCTTGAGCAGGGGAGCTGCACAAGGTGACCTCCAGAGGTCCCTTTCCAACCTCAGCTGTTCTGTGAAACACTGGTCAGCTTTAAAGGTGCTTTCAAAAGCCAACAGCTGACAATCGAGATTATTCCTTAAGCACTGATGCCCTCCTCTGCCCAAACATCCAGGTTAAACAGATACCCAAGCGTTTCTCCCCTTTAGCTTCTGCAAGACTCAAATAAGTTATAGAACAAAATACTACTTTTGCCTCTACTCCCTCTCTTTTACTACCTTAAAACCCAGTATTTCATGACGGTCACAGTAATATACTCAAAGGCAGAAAATCATCTTAGGCCAGCACAGAGAAAGAAGAAAAAAGAATTCTAACTCAGATTTGCAGGCTGTTTTCTGACAGTGATGATATACAGGCAGTGACCAACAGCCTTGAGCAACAGTTGGGTGACCAACACATCTGCAACAATGCCTGACAAAACTAAGGCAATAAAACCTATTTATCATGGAGGAGAGAAAAGATGCGGTGTCCCAGCGCCACCAGTCCTTGCAGAGTTCCTGTATTTACAGCAGTAGTAATGGACATGCATCGTCCTGTCAATACGACAGGATTCACTCATCCACAGAAGCTCCCTGCTCATAGGCAACTTTGTCATTCTTGACCACAGCCTTTAGTTACCTTTGGACTCCGAGCCAAGTGACATTTCAGAGGCTCAGCTGCATACCAAGGTAAACAGATTACTTAAACAAAAGCCTCTGCACTTCAGCCACAGCATTTCCCAAATCCAACAACTCCATTGCTATAATACTGTCTTACCTAAAGCTGGCTTTGATTTGGCTGCTGCTGTTGACGTAACCTTTGTATTTCATAGATAAAGACAGATCTCTTAGGTCATACAATCTGATTCTGGAATCATTTGATGTCACTAGTATCTACAAAATAAATAAATAAAATTTAGAAGTGGAAACCATTAGCATGCCCAAGAAGGAGCAACAGAGTTCATTCAAACAGTCAGAATTCCCAGTTCTCTTGATAAAAAAAGTGACATAGACAAAGAATAGATCCAAAGAAGCAGAACAAGATGATGACATGTTTTTCTCTCTTCTTCTATCCACAAATAGAAGACAACTTCACTGTCAAGATCATCCTGACTGGTCTGAACCAGAACAGCTGCTCCTTACTGAAGTAAAATGTGTGCCCAAACTACAGTCGTCAATTTGCGAAGGATATTTTGGAACACATTCCACAGTAATATAGCAGAACAGCTATTCTAAACTTCTGGAGAGTCATGACCTATCAACCATGAAGCACAGATCAGAGGCCATTATCTGCTCTATAAGCAAACTGAGCTTTTCTTGGTTGATGTGAGTTTGCTTCCTTTCCACATGTTTTAGATCAGAAGTTTAAACGTACTTATAAAGAACAGAGAGGTCAATGAAAGGCTTGTCAAAATGAGTAAGGGCATTCAGCTGATCAGCCTTTTTAATGGTACCTTAGAAGTAGAGGAGACAGCAGGTTAGCAATAAGTCTCAAGGTGATGCTAGAAAAAGGGTATAGCAGAGTAGCAGTGAAATACTGACCTCTACTTATCTAATCATTTATGCAACAAAGTTGTTGCAACTCTTGGAACACCATTACCATCACATTACAGAACTTGCTATTTGTTGTCAAAAGAGCTCATGCTGAGCCCTGTTTCATTACATCACCTAGCATGCCAACGCACAGCGTTTGACACAAACCCAAAGGCACTATTAATTTCCGAATCTTCTGCATGTCTTTGGAATTAAGTAATTTCTGTGTCATTGATAAGAATACAGTATAGGTGATAGCAGCTGCTGATCTACTACTCTGAGCCAGCTGTTGACCCAACATCACCCCTGAAATTTTATATACAAGTGAGAAACTCCCCAGCTTTAGATTATGACTTTAATATTCAGAGTGTTCTTTGCTTGATGAGAATTTGACCCTTTCACCATAAGACTTCAGCTTAGACTGAAGCTAAACAAAAGGACTGATTCTGAAGAACAGAGTACACTTGTTTGGATAACAGCTTCTGAGCTCTCTGCATTTTTTTCAGCTTCTGTATGAAGCACATTTCCAAATGAATATTAAATTCAAGAGAGGTTAGTTATGCCAAAGAAATTTTCACTGAAAGCCATCTGTAAGCGTTTTCTCACCCACAATAATCAGAGCATAATGCCATTAAAAAAAAAGGTCTGTTTTACCACTACTTAGTATTGTATCAGTCTAAATCAGCAATGAGTAGTGTTCGTATTAATAGTGTTAAAAGACTTCTGATTTAAGTCAGTGACTACAAACAAGACTTAGCACAAACTTACTAAGCATTAGATACAAATATCAGACTCCAGTACTGAGCCACGGTTGCACTGAAAGATGGTACCTTATTTTCTCCAGGCAAGGGTTCAATGCCAGTAATTTTTCTTCCAACTCTATTTCTGCCTCTGGTAGAACGCACATGTATTTGCGTATGGTACTTCAAGTGCTGGAAAGATAGTAAAATGTATACTGATTTGGAATAATTGTGTAAAAACTTTAAACTATTTTGCTTCAGTTTCTAATAGGTTTGTTTCTTGATATTTAAATAAGCATGACTTTTAAGTTGCTTGTTATTTAACATGAAAAAAATACATAGCCTCAAAAACATTTTACCTCTGTGTCATAGAAGATACATCTTCCATCATATGTGCCTATGACTGCGTATTTGCCATTCTGACAGAAATTGGCAGCTGTAATCAATTTTGTCTGCCCATCCACTTCATTCCATAACGCCACTTTTTTGTCAGGAATGTTCCAGAGTCGGAGTTTCCCATCCAATGAACCACTTAAGAAGTACCTGTCATCCTGAAAGGACAAGCTAAATTAATCTCTGTGCTATGAGCATGCCCTGATTTTCTTAAAATCTTCCCGTCCCATTTCTAAACAGCTTCTCTCCAGAACTTCCCAAATAAGAGCTCTCAGATGAGTTGATTATAATGTTTAAGACAACTGAAAAGACAATGTTAAAATTACTGGTAAATGGCGTTCAATTTCTTACAGATTTTTGACAAGATTACCACAGCCAGTGTGTATACCTCAAGTTAGAAAAATATTCACTGTTACCACAGTTACTCTTACTCTTAACATAACTTAGAAAAATACTAACCTTGTCAGGAGCTGGAAGCTCCTTTCAGAGTTCTCGATACATCTACC